TTGAAGACTGGAATTTGCATTGCTAATTCAGGAGAATAGTTTTGTATCCCGTTTTTGCATAATCTTTCAGTTAAAGGTGTTGCAGAATGTTCTATAAGTCTAGCTGCTGCTTTTCTTGGTTTGTTACTGTTTTTTTTTTCATGCCCGGTAAGGAATTTGTAGATGCCAGCTGAGACCTTAGTGTTTCCAAGCCAAAGTAGTGTAACCGTGTTCTGGGGATTGAAAGAAAAAGACAGAGTGCCTATTGCAAACCATGGAGGAATTGTGGTGAGATCTGTGTGTCCTCTTGCTGTCATTTTAGGGAGTGGTTTGGGTAATATTTGAGCAGTGATTAGAATAGTATTTTTTGCTTTGCTGTCCACTTGGAGTCGCATGCACTTTCTAGACCTTCATTTCCTGTCGGCAGTCCTTCTTACGCTTCCTGGAAGCTGATGTTTAATGTTTCACATTAAAAATTGTGAAACAGTGAGGTCATACATTGTAAATCTCCACACGAACGGAGTGCAAACTTACTATAGCAACTGCTTACATACACTTCATGTATGTCAAATTTCATTTATACACACACACACACACACACACACACACACACACACACACACACACACACGTAGGTATCTTAGTGTTTTACAGCTGGTAAGATACTGCAGAATCGATGCATTATGCAGACTAAGAGTTGCTGTCTTATCATACAATTGAAGTCCAAATGCCTTTATAAATTGTCAAGCTGGGCTCAGTAGCATTTCCTAAAACATCCCCATTAGGTGAACACATAGTGGATATTTTTAAAAAAGAGATACTTGTAATGATCTGAATATTATCAGCTGGCTGGCTATGGTATTCTTTATAAACTGATTGATTGTAAATATCATATTTTTTTAAACTTTGCTTTATTCAGTTGAGTGTCAGTATTGTTGAAAGAAAAAAACTCGGTAATTTTAACATGGTACCGCTATCCAGTAGGGTTTCACCTGCATTCAGAAACCTATCATCTCTTAACCAACAGAAACGTTAGCTGGGGCATAGTTTGATTTTTGGACTTAAAGCTATTCATGGAAGGGACACGATTAGACAAGACATGCTTTTCTTGCCATGTAGCTGCTTTCAAAAGTTGATGTGAAGTGTTACTGACAAATCATTAAAACTGTTACTTAGGGTTAAAAGATTGCCAAAACAGGTAGAGTTTAGTAGGTGGAGTTAGTGCACGCCCAGATCAGATCTGGCAGGTGCTGTCCTCTCAGGCTGTACGAACAACTTTGAAAGGACAGCAGCACTGCGATGCCTTTCAAACGGAGCTAAGCAAAGGTTGTGTGAGGCCTTCTGTGAGGTAATACTGTTCTCCTTCCCACAGAATTGAAAATATTTTTAAAGTACTTTCTGTCAGTACTGGAGACTAGATTGTGCAGCAAAGAACCTAACACGTGCGCTTCTGTGGTTACAGAGGAGTGTTACTTACAGGGTTTTATCAACGAATATGTCACTTTTTCCATTTTAGTGTGGTTTGTTTTTTTCCCTGGAAACATGGAGTCTAGTTACATCCCCTGCAGGTATGTTGGGATGTTGGTTTATAGCACAAGGCCAGAATAAAGTCACCAAAGAAAATAAATGCAAGGAAAAGAACCTGTGTAGGTACAGGAAAGTGATCTGATCAGCAGGTCACCATTAAATTTGACAGAATGTATTAGTTATCAGGAAAAGCAATGATAAGTCAGTGTGGCTGGCTCAGGAAAACCTGCTCAGTGTGCAGCAGGTGTGTAAAAATGCTAGCATTGATTTAGAGCACTGGAGGTAACACCAAACATTTACAGTCCCACGCTGTGTATCAGTGGGGCACGCTTAGCTATGCTTTGTGTTGTAACTGTGCCAAAATCAAGACTGTTCTGAAACAGCAAACGTTAGCTGCCTTAAGTATCTTTACGCTTGAAGAACATTTAACAAGATTAGGGTAGCACTGTTCAGAAAAAAAACCATAAAATAGCAAATGCCACAGAGAAGGAGAACTAGCAACATAATCTTGAAATATGAGAAGCTGTAAGAAAATAAAAATTACTAAAGGTATATCGCTATAATAGAGGTTTTTAAAAGTAGTTGTTTACTATGGTTATATTATTTTAAAACCATTTTAAAATACCAACAGCTTTTAAATATAACATATATTTAGTTTTTGTCATGGATTTGCATAGTTCGTCTGCGAACTTCCTCATGCGTTATTTGTAGCGCTGACTATTCCATAAAGCCTTGCAGAGTGAAAATAATGCTCTATTGCATGCGGTTTCCTGTATAATTGCGACAAAAGTGTTCTTGTGCCTTTTGCTGTTAGATGAAGCCATTAGAGAAGATGGGATTGAACAGTGTAGGGCTTTTAAAGACGCAGCAGTTTGGAAATCAGTGTACTTCTGACAGTTAAGATAAGGTAGGCTGTTTAATTTAAAGTGGCATCCAAAATTACTCCTCTCTCTTAAGCATTTCCATTTATTTACAGTGTATGTGACAGCTTTTTTGCATATGCTTACTTTTAAGATGCTTGTGTAGTCAATTCCCTCTGTAATTTACATGACTTTTTCACAGCAGAAAGCTATGGGAAAGTTTTTTTTTTTTGTTTAAATAAAGAAGTTATTATAAAACTTTAAAAATCAGCAGGGAAGATTTAGCACTAGAAACCATTAAGCTTCCTGTTTAAATTATTTTGATAATGAAATGACTGGAGTGTGCCCCTTTGGCCTGATTATTTTTAACCAAATGCAAACCTTAAAAGCATAAATGAGGCCTCATGGAAAATTTAGAAAACTGATCCATTTAAAAACATTTTCACCTTTGTCAATTATTTACTGTGTTCTTGTCCACCTCTTTTTTTTTTTTTTAATAAAGGATATTGTCATGAATATAAGATGTTTTACAGAGGTTTATCTGCTCCTGCTGTTTAATCTGCACCTGGAGTGATGCTATTTTCTTCATGATATAATACTTAT